GGCCGCGGAGCTCGGGCCAGCCCGGAGGCCTCGAAAGAGGGAGGCCCCGGCGGAGCCTGCGCCGCGCTTCCGCACTCGCGCCCTCGGGCCGCGCGCCCCCGCCCCTTCCTCCCGCGCCGCCCTCTTCGGCCTCGTCCAGCTACTCCCAGCCCGGCCGGTGGGCAACTCCGAGCCATCCCGGCGCCCCTCGCCGGGCAGAAACTTCGCAGAGACCGCGAGGCTGCTCGTCGGAGCTGCAGAAACTCTGGATGGATGGAAAGAGCAGAGGGAGTTGGGGAGTACCATATTCTCCCCCGTCCCATGGGCCGTAGCCGCTATCATCACTGGGCGAGCTGCTTGCTGGCCGGCGCCAGCCCCGTCGGGCCGGGGACCCCGCGCAGTGGACGCAGCGATCCCCTGGCTTGCAGCTTCGGCTCGGGAGGGACGCGGCGCAGTCCTCGCAGGAAGGGCACCTGAGCGAAGTGTGGGCAGTGTCCTGCCAGGGCTTGGTCAGGATCCCGGCATGGTGGGCTCTAGGAGTCCCTCCCTATGTGGCACTTCCCATATTTGTCTCTTGGGTCCTGTACTAATAAAAGGATGGGGTGTGTCTGGAAGTACACTAACTCCAAGATCTGAAGGGGTGGGAGGGGGAGTTGTTGAAAGACTGGCGACACACTTGCAGGCAGGGCGCTTAGGGTTTATCGGTGATGCAGGCTTTGGGTACGATTTTTAACTACTTAAGAAAACTCATGTGAGTCTCTAGAAAGATACTAAGCAGCCGTAATTTGACATCTATGAATGTTATTGCCTTAGAAAATGTTACCAGCATTTCAGGCTTCTACATTAAAAGCATTTTTAGTATCAATCCCTTTGTGCTATATGGTGCCTTTTTTTGGCAATGAAAGTATTAGTGTGTGGAGTGCCCCTGATCCCGGTTTTCTTTGGGATGTGTAATCCATGAGTGCATTCTCTGCGTCCACTGAATTGCTACAAGTTAGCGCTGTGCAAGTATATCTTTAGGACTTTGGAGCCCGCTAAATCACTGTCATCTTAACATTCTATTGGCCTTGACACTAAAAAGAAACATAAACACTTTATAAAGTTTAAAATGTAGAGAGTTGACTTTAAAAGGTTTGAAAAGCAAAGACTAGAAAGTAAGACATAAACACAAAGCATGCATGGGAATGTTCCCCCTTTCCCTTGGAGATGGAAGTGTCCAAGTGTCTTAGGCTCTGCTAACAAAATTGAGGGCACTGAATGGTCAGAACCAAGCACAGGACTTCTGATGTTATTTCCCAAAAGAGAGGTAATGCAACATTTAAAATAGTCATATGTTTGTATTAATCATGATGGACAATATTTTTGGTCCACTAACTTAGTTATGTAATGTCATTCTTTTTCATTCAAGCAGGTAAATTCAGTAATTTTAGATTTGGTGTTGGCCACATACTGTATTCTCATAACTTCAAAAATTAAGTGCAGTTGCCAATGGAGTGCCCTTTTAAAGGCTAACACAATGTTTTAATCTCTTGGGGAAGGAGATTTCTTATCTATATGAAACAGCTAATTTTTATTAAAAGCAAATAGACTTTTATTATCTAAATGTTTTAGATACTCTCACCTCTTTACCTACTTTACCCTAAATCCTTCATCTTGGCTCCCAAATCCCTGACAATGGTTAGAGCAATTACAGCCCTTAAAATAGTGGCAGGCTGCAGTACCTGTTTGTTTAATGAACTGACATGGACATGGGCTGCAGTATATACTTGCAGAATGAACTTGTGTCTGTCTCTTACTAGACATGTCCTGGGAGATAGACACATTCTCTTATTAGCAAAGTGTCTGGCACACACTGAAATTTAATATTTGGCTTGATTGAAGAATATATATATACTTGATTCACCTGGGCAATCTTTATAATGTGGATGTAAATTAATGTAATTAATATAATGTAATTAGTGTAAGACTTTGATTTTAAAAATTCAGCTAGAAACTGAAGGAAAAAAATGCATGCGTGTTGTAATTAACAAAGCTTCTTCTAGCATTCGTAGCATATATAGTCTCATGGCGGTGGGATTTTCTAAATTCTCAAAGGGGATTTGTAAAGAAAAAGACAACAGGATGACTTTATACTGTTGTCTTTTTCAGACTAATTTTCATAAATAATAAAGGAATTTAGTGAGAAAATGGTTTTGAAGTCACATATTATGATGAGATTTTTAGAAAAGGATCCAAAGGCTTCCAATCCTCTCATGGAAACACTTGGGCAAGTTGTACAGACATTCCTAATTAAGTGAATTTTTATGTGTCAAGTACATTGTATATCTCTAAATTCAGCGGATATCGGATACTTTAAGAACAGTAATTTTAGTTTAAAAACAACAACAAAAAAACCCCCTGAGATCTCCTTTTGAATAGTTTTCTTTTATTGCTTAACTGTTAGTAGAGGTGTGTATGTGATCATGAGACATTCATTTAACTTTGTGAAACAGAATGGTATTTTGGTTTAAAGTTAGTAAGTTGAAAAATGGGTCAGAAAATATTAATTGGTTTTCTTGTCAGTAAAAGTAATCTGTTTGCCATATTTTATATTTGAATTGCTAACAATTTCATTAATATGTATATTATGATCATTCTATATTACATTTCTCCATGTAATCTTAAAGACTTTAAGAAGGAAAGCTAAAATAAAGAGTAAAATCTAGCTTTTTAAAGATGTCTAATTTCAGACATGAAGTAGACATTCTATATTGTTTCATCAGGAACTGCACAATTTAACTCAAACCTTTTTTATGACAGATACTCAGACTAAAACAATTACATTATCATTGGAACTTAAGTTTTCAAATTTTGCAGCATTTCATAAGTAGACTCTTGTGTATGTAGATTTACACCTTTTTCCACCATTGGGCTCTTAACACTTTTAAAGTAGAAAATACTTAGTAAAGCAGTTACTAAAACTAGCAGCTGTAGTAGTTTAGGAGTTTGAATTGTTGGTTTAAAGACTGAAACCAAATATGGAACCTTTTAGTTTTAAGGGGATTTCTTTTTTATAATGCAACAAGGAACTGAAAATAATATTGACAGTTTATTTGTAAGTTTAATTACTTACTCAATCTGTTTCCCTCCCTAATCTCTAAATGGGAACACACAACTTAATTGTGAAGGACTCTTGAGAAAATGCAGAGATCATTGTGAAACCTACAGCTTAGAGTTAAATAAAGGAATGGTGGGTACTAAAGGTTTCTGAACTGCAGAGGCAAAGGATAGGTACCTGCTGAGGGGTATCAGAAACCTGACTAAACACACTTATTCCTCTAATTGCCTGTTCATTCCCTACCTGGGGCTCCACAAAAATACCAGGGCTTCATGAGTAAGCTCAGGTCCGGATGAGATCTCAAAAATTATCCTATAGGACTCACCCCAAATATGAGAACCATCTACGTTTGCATGCTCTTCTACAGAAGAGGAGAGGGGTTTCCTATCTTAGCACTAGCAGCTGTGGCTATCTATGCGCTCACCATCTGGTGAAACTAGAGTTTCTGAGGGAGAAAAATTTAAAGTTGACACCTGTCATTGAAATATTTGGTACATAGTTTTTAAAGACAAGCTAGGACTCAGTAAAAGAAACTGGATAAAGATTTCAAGTTATATAAGCTAGGGCAAAGTGTATTTCCAGGTAAAGAGTCTCCCTTTCTTTTGGAAATGTCATTCAGCAACAAAATGAAGCCTAACTTTAAAAGACAAAGGTAAGATGTTTTTCAAATCCCACGAAAGTTAGGAAACAAAGGTAGTAGTAATTAGGAGAAAGCCACAGATGACAGGACACTTACTCTATTGATTCTTTATCTGTTTTTCTTCATTGAATTTTTAGGAGTGCTTATTAAATGCTTCCACTATAGTGTAAAAGTAAGTGTAATGAACCTGGTTGTCATGCCCCTCTTGAATCTCGAAATGCCAGGTACATAAAAGCTGGATTAAAACGGGAAACACTGACTTTAGGATTGCATTGACAATAATGTCTATATATTTTCCCGATTGTCACATGTGAGAGATTTCTCTTGACCGTCGAGGCTCAGAGAGCTCCACCGCTGCAGTTCACTGGTCTCGCTCGGGGCACTTCAACCAGAGCCCCTGGGCACTTGGGGGCACTTCCAGTGCCAGCCGCAGCCCAAGCCGCAGCCAGGAACCACAGGAGTCTGGGTCGGTTTATAAAGAACCCCGAATCTAAGCAGACGCCTGCCCACAGTGGAGCAGTGACGCTCGACGGTGCACGATTCCCGGGGGATTTGGCAAGTCGGGCCCAGCGTGGGAGCACCTGCAGGCGGAGTTCCCCCGGGGCTGGCCGCCTTTGTGCAGCCGCGGGGCTCGAGGTGCCGGGGCACCGCGGCCCTGACGTCACTCCCGGGACTGGTCGTTGCCGCGAGACGGCCGCGTTCCGGTTCCGGTCGGTTGCCCAGGAGACGCGAGTACACAGAGAAACGGATCCCGTCGGAGGCCGGGTGGTAGTCTCGGTCGCCTGCGCTGTGCGCACTCGCAGCCGGCCGGAGCAGGAGCCGCGTCGTCGCCAAGCTTGAGAAGACTTGGGAGCGGCGGCGGGCGCCATGAGTCAGAGACAAGTGCTGCAAGGTGAGGCCCGGGGCGGGCGGGCGCCCCGACGGGCTGGCGACGGGGGAGACGGGGACCGCGGCGACCCCTCACGGAGTCTCCCCCGCAGTGTTCGAGCAGTACCAGAAAGCCAGAACCCAGTTCGTGCAAATGGTGGCGGAGTTGGCGACCAGACCCCAAAACATCGAGACGCTGCAGAACGCTGGTGAGCCCTCGCCCTGAGCCGGTCGCTGGTGCCCCTGGCCTCACCCCGCACCCGCGGCCTCCGCGTCACCCACAGCCCCAGGCCGCGCCTAGCTCGCACTCGGGCCCCTAGTCCCGCCGCGCCTGGGCCCTGCCTCGCCGGGTATCCCTGTCTTGTCCTGTCCTCGCACAGCGCCCCTCGCCTCGCCTCGCCTCGCCTCGCCTCGCCTGTGGGTCCTGGTCCCCTACCTCCTCCCTCTGCAGGCTGCCTGCTCCCCTGCCGGCTGGGCTCTTGGGCGGGGGGGGGTCGAGATAGCGCAAGGTAAGTTCCTAATATTGCAATATGTAATTTTAATTAAAAAACAAACTGCCCCCGCGTCCCGCAACAACTGCACGGCGTTCAGTTTTCTTCAGCGGGTGTTTAGGGGTGAGGTTGAGAGGGCAACGCGTCCCGATGGGTTGGGTTCGAGAGGGGTTCCAACCAAGCAAATGTCAGGTTGAAAGTCAAGGCCGTGCGAATTGCCTGGAAGTCATTTTTCGTGAATGGGAATCTGCCCTCATCAGACCCGTTTTATCTGGGTGCCTTCGCATGGTACCCTTTCTTTTATCATGGTGGACTTTTTCATAGCAAAGGAATTCCAGAGTGGTTTACATAGCTCTCTTCTCCTATTAGTGAAAGAGGAATGAGAGACTTGAACCTTCCAGGAGGTCCAAGGTAGGTAAAGACCTGGCTGTGTGAAACCCTAGTGGTGCTCATTTCACCCTTAGTCGAACTATGGCAGAGCAGGAATGGAGGGAGGAAGGAGAGAGGAAGCGGGAGAGGAGGGAGAAGAGAGAGAGGGGGAGAGAGAGAGAGAGAGAGAGATACTGCTTTTATGTCTAGAAACCTAAGCGGATAGAGAAGTAATGATCTTTGTTCTCTCTCTCTATTTGATTAAGGCTCATTCTACCACCACCTGAACTGTAAGGTAGTATTTTAACACTATGGTGTCAAGAGAAATCTTCACTTTATGGGATGTGATCTTTAAAATTTATTTAAATTAACACATAATTTAAAAAGAAAATTAACATATTGACAGAACAAGAATATTTAGACAGCTCTGGATTTCTTTGAGGGAAATTACTACTGCATCTTTGTGGTAATTTTCTATTGTCACTGGGGTTTTGGTGTGTTTTTATGGAGGGGATGTATTTAGAATGAAGAAAGTATATTTTATAATCTTTTAAAAAAACTTTTCAGTTTGAGATAATTGTAGATTCACTGCAGTTGTAAGGAATAATACACAGAGTTCAGATACACTTTTCCTATTTCCCCCAGTGGCAACATCTTACAAAACTGAGGTCCAAGGTCCCAACGAGGATGTTGACATTGATAAAAATCCATCTAGTTCAGGTTTCCCCAGTTTTACTGGTACTTATGTTTGTGTTTTGTTCTATACAATTGTATCTCATTTGTATGCACCACGATCACACTCAAATAGAGAATGCTTTTATCATCATCAGATTTCCCTTGTGATGCTCTTTTACATCCACATTCAGCTGCTCTCCTGAAGCCTGGGCCACCACTAATTATTCTCCATTTAAAAATTTTGTCATTTCAGAATTGGTAATCTTTTGTCCTGTAATCATTTCAAATTGATAATCTTTTGTTCTGTAGTTTTTTCATGTAGATTAATTTACTTAATTCCACATACATGTACATATGTGTGTCTGTGTGTATGTGCTCATATTCAAAGTTCCTAGAACAACATTGGGCACACAGTGTTCCATATATACAGACTGAAGTTTACCAGAGTATAGCACATTTTAAAAATGTAGTTACTTTTTAAGTTTTTTTTCTTTCTTTCAGTGTACTCAATGGCCTTTGAAAATAGACACTATTTATAAAAATTTACTTCTAAATACAATGTATATAGCCAAACTAAAACTTTATTTCTAAAATGAGAAAATAAGAAAGCAATTAGATTTTTAATGGAATTTAATCCAAACAGGCAGACTAAGTGATCACCAAAGTGTAAGTGGTTTATGTACATTCAGCACTCAAAGTCTGGCTCATGAAGGAATGGACAACAAAAGGAATATAACTGAATGCTTTGAAATGACTTGTACTTGACTAATATCTCAATGGGACACTTAATGTTTTTCTTTTTCCTGAGAAACTCATTTTAATATATTTTGTTATTTAAATTCAATTTAAGCATTCCATCAGTAATTATAAATAGATCATGAATATTACAATATGTTATTTTAATTAAAAAACAAACTGTAAGCTTTGTCATGAAAATTTTTAAGTCAACTTAATCACTCAAACATTTTTTTAAATCACCATGCATTTAAAAATCCTTTTGAATGAATATATATATATACATATATATATATGTCAGTTTTACATTTTTTAGTCAGTGCCTTCATTTAAAATACCAGTGACTTTACTCCTGACTTTGATATACTATCCACATCTCTGAGAAGATTTTGTTTTATCACTCCCCTCACCCTACTTATGTACTGTTTAAGTAAATATGTATCATAGACTCAAGATAATGTAGAAAACATTTTTCATATATGCGTCATGATCAATCAGTAGTTCCTTTAAGAATTTTTTAATTCTATGTGAAAAGAATATTAAAGGTGAAAATTATCCATGGAATTTTATTTCATTTTAAGTCTTGAATCTTTTTCATTGTGTTTTTGTTGTACTAATAATAAGAGAAGTTACCTTGGTTTTTGTTGTTGCTTTTTTAAAGAATTATTTATTTAATTTTATTTATGCATTCATTTAACTAATTTATTGGTTTTAATTTGACCAGAAAGACAGAGAGAGGGAGAGAGTGAGAGGGAAAAGTGAGAAAGCAAGCCACCAGGTCCAAGACTCGAACTGTGGTCAACCATGTGGGAGTCCAGTGCCCTTATCCACCAGGTCACCTGTCGGCCCCAAGAAGCTACCTTGTTAACTATGTCCAAAGTAATTACCAAAGTAATCACCAAAGCAAACGAGTGTTGCAAGATCTCTTCAGAGTATTTAGGAAAAAATACATTTGATTTGTAATCAAAATTATTACTAGAAAGAACTATGTATCCACCCATGGTAGTGGTAATGCAATAATATGTACAATGCAGGAAGCCATATGGAAGATTGGGGTTTGATTCCTGGAGTTGATTTGTACATAACAAATCACCTTCCCTGGCTGGAGAGGGAAGACTATGACATGAGACCCTGTTAAGGGTGCCTTTCTCTCTCTTTCTCTGTCTCTCATGAAATAAATACATCTAGAGAGGTGTTTTATTTATTTTATTCTCTCTTTTTTTTTTGAGAGGTTTTTGCTATAGGGCGCGTGCGCTTGCCAGAAAGACAGAGAGAGACAGAGAGATAGAAAGCAAGAAATCATCCCCTAGGGGGATGGCCACGCCACAATCCCTTCTCCTCCATTTTCCTCTTGAGATCTTGGGAACACACACACATACGCCCGCCCGGCATGAGTTTAAGCCACCGGGTCGGGACTTGAACTGCGGTCGACTATATGGGAGTTCAGCGACATAGCCATTACGCTAACTGCTGGTCCCTATTTTATTTATTTTTTGCACTAGAGGGGACTTGCACTTGCTGGAGAGACAGAGACAGAAAGACAGAGAGTGAGTAATCACCCCCAAGGGGGAATGTCCACACTGAATCCCTTCTCCTCCATTCTCCTGTCAAGATTTTGGGCATGCACACACATGCGCCCAGGATGAGTTTTAAGCCACAGGATCCAGGGCTCGAACTGTGGTCACCTATGTGGGAGTCCAATGATGTAATCATTATGCCATCTGCTGGTCCAAATAAATAAATCTGAAAACTTAGAAGAGAACTGTGTAGAAAGTGTGATGTTGGGTTTTTGTTTGTTTGTTTGTTTGTTTTTATTCCTTCTAAATCAAAAGAACACATGAAAATATTACAAAGTTTAATGTTTGTTAAGTTTTTGTAGAACAGATTTTAGCTCCTTTTACCACACAAATGAAAAAACTTATGTTAATCTGTATGTAGCTATATTTATCTCTATCATAACATTTTGTAGACTTCAAATATACCCAATAAAAGATATTTTTAAAAAGTAAAAAGCTTAATGTTTGTTATAAAATCTCTTTATGTACTTTCAAACCTTGTAATGTTTGAACCATTACATCTTGTAGTTATTTAAAAATTAATTTTGATACTTCCCCTCTCTGAATGATCGGTAATACATGACTATCATAGTGGAGATCATATGTTGTTACTTGTACCCATTGTATAATTTCAGCAACTGGATGTGAATGGTTAGTTAAAGAGCATAAGAAACATGTTTTGGGACCAGCAGTTGGCGTAATGGCTGTGTCGCTGGACTTCCATGTAGTCAACCGTGGTTCAAGTCCCAGACCTGGTGGCTTAAACTCATGCCAGGCATGTGTACGTGCATGCCCAAGATCTCAAGAGGAGAATGGAGGAGAAGGGACTGTGGCATGGCCATCCCCCCAGAGGGTAATTTCTCACTTTCTGTCTCTCTGTCTTTCTGGCGAGCACACATGCCCTATAGCAAAAACCTCTAAAAAAAAATTACGTGTGTCTGAAGAAGGGTAACAATCTTTTTTCAAAACATTTTTTGTTTAATTTTATTTATAACTATTATAATTTTTTAATTTGACCAGAGAAAGAGGGAAAGTGAGAAACCTAGATTCCAGGTCCAGGGTTTGAACTGTGGTTGGCCATGTGGGGTCCAACCCTTAACTACCAGGCCACTCACTGGCCCCAAAGATAAGAATCTTAAGCTTAGCTCTCTACTACCCCAATATGCTATGAGAGGGAAGAGCCCCTAGTAAGCATTTATAATGTATTTAAAACATATCTAGATAATGTACATGTACCACAATTCTCTTAGAAAACTTACTGTTCCAAAGGATATTGAAACTGGAAAGAAAATTAGCAGAGCAGCTTCAAAAATCTAAATCAGTCATGCTATTTAAGTTTGATATATTTAGTCAACTTAAAATAAGTCTTGTAATTGATAAAAT